TAGTGCAATATTTAGAGTTTCTTCTGACATCTATTTTTTTTTTCTTTCCCATCTGTATTTGTAATGACCTTTTGCTTTCTTCATGGATGATATCCTTGAAGCTCATCTGATCTTGGATCATTGGTGGTCAATGTCTCAAACTTATTCTTAAGATTATCTTGTAATTCTGATGGAATAGATTCAAGATCATATCTTGATTCTCATGTACTTATTTTAATTTTCTTCAGCCTCAATTTGAACTTGCATATGAGTAATTGATGGTCTAACCCACAGTCTGCCCCTGGACTAGTTTTTAACTGCCAATAGTGAGCTTCTCTAAAAATTTCTTCCACAGATATAGTCCTTCTTATTCCTTTGTAGCCCATCAGGTGAGGTGCATGTGTGAAGTTGTCATTTGTCTTTTGAATTTGTCATTTGTCATTTGTCTTTGCAGTTAATAAATCATTGAAAATACAAAATTCAATAATTCTATTTCCAGCCTTATTTCTATCAAATCCATATTTTCCAAGTACTATTCCTTCACTGTTTTCAACTTTTGCAGTCACTAGTTATTATTAATGCTTCTTGAGTGCATGTTTGGTCAATTTCAGACTGCATGATTTGATAAAATTCTCAATTTCTTCCTCTTTGGCTTTGGATGTAGGAATGTATATTTTACTAATAATAATATTAAAGGGTCTTCCTTGTATGCGTATGGATAATTTCCAATCACTCACAATATTGTATTTCAAGATAGTACTTGAAATTGACTTTTTGACTGTGAATGCAATAACATTCTTCTACTTTTCATTCCTAGCATGCTGTTGTTGTTATATACTGTTGAGCCACCTGTGACTCATAGTGACCCTATGTATAACAGCTCTGAAGCCTGCCCTGTCCTGAGCCAGTCTCACTGATTCCAACACACCTACCTCCATTGCCCTAGTACCTGTATCAATCCATCCGGGGTCTTCACTCTCCTGTGCTGTCCCTCTACCTTTTCCAGCATGATGTCCTTCTTCAAGGATGGGTCCCTCTTGGCTACATACCAAAAGTATGTGAGATGGATCTTCAAAATCCTAGCCTCCAAGGATAAACTTGGTTTCACCCTCTCCAAGACAGTCCTGTTTGTTTTCTTGGCTGTGTGTGGTATGTTTAAGACTCTTCTCCAGCACCACAACTCAAATGCATCAATTCTTCTGTCATCTTAGTCATTGTCCAGCTCTCTGATGCATAGCAAGTAATTGCACAGACCATGGCTTGAATCAGATGCACCTTAGTCTCTAGACTGACATCGTTGCTTTTCAGTACTCTGAAGAGGTCCCTGACAGCATATTTACCCCATGCAATTTGTCATTTCCTCACTGCTGGTGCCAAGAATGTTGACTGTGGAGCTGAGCAAGCTGTAATTGTTAACAACGTCAATCTCTTCTCCATCCATCATGGTGTGGTCAGTTGGCCCAGTGGTGAGAATCTTTGTCTTCTGGATGTTGAGCTTCAATACATATTGAATAATATAGTCCTTGACCTTCAAGCCCTGGCCAGTTCCAGCAAGCAAGGTTGTTTCATCTGCATAACCGAGGTGGTTGATTCCAAGCATAGTATACCACATGATTATCTGATTCAGAGTGACCAAAGCTTGTCTGTCTCATCTCACTAATGTCTAGTATGTTGATATTCATACATTCCATTTAATTTTTTATAATTTCTAGGTTTTCTACATTCAAGCTATGTATATTCCATGTTCCAATTATTGTTTTTCCTCCTGTCAGCTTCTAATCTTGGCTTTACTACTACACTACTATATACATTCCTCTACTGTTTATAGGGTTTTCAAAGACCTATTATTTAGGAAGTGGATGACCAGTCCTGCTTCCTAGTCTGTCTTTATCTGGGAACTCTACTAAAACCTGTCCACCCTTGGTAACCCTTATAGCATTTGAAATACCAGTGGCATAGGTTTCAGTATCACAGCAACCCACAAGTTATCTCAGTACAGTAAACTGACAGAGAAGTGCTGTATTAATCAGAACTATCTTCCCACCACACACAACAAACTGACAATTTAATTTGTAACTCTAATAGCAAATCAGTCTTCATCCCAGGCCCAAGGCCTGCAAGCTTCTAATCACTGACTTCTAATCAAAATGTCCCACCCACCTACCAGGTCCTAATTGGTTTAAACAAGAGACTTCCAACCCACAACTGATTGCTTAATTAAATAAAAATGACAAAACAGGTTATACCTGATTGTTGATTAAATCAAAAGGACCAAACAGCTTACACCTGATTGATGATTAACTCAAAAGGGCCAAACAGCATGTACTTGATTGTTAATTAAATAGAAATAACCTACTTTCCAGAATCCAACTGCTTCAAACAAGAGGCTCTTCAGCAGGCCCCAACCAACTTGTAATCACAAAGGCCCACCCAGTGGGTCCCAATGCATTCTAGCTGAGTAATAATTCAGGAATGGATGTTTTCTGGGTGATACAAACAGTATTTCCTCCCAATCTGGATGCCATTTATTTCTTTTACCAGAACTTCCAGTAAAATGAGTATGAACTTCTTTGCCTTGATCTTAGGGGAGAAATATGAAGTTTTTCCATTATTGGGAGGACACTTACAGTTTTGTTTTTGTTACTAAATTTTTTATTAAACTGTTATTTTATTTATTATAGCCAACTGTTTTATCTCTTAGTTCCCCTTAACATTGCCATTTTTAACCCTGCCCCTCCTCCAGGTTCTAAGTAATTAAGCAGGAACTAAAGTAAAACTGACTCATTCAATCATAAGTACCACAGTCTTATCAACAGTCTTGGCCTAAGTTTTCTGGTTCAGTGACCTGACAAAGTGTCACACGCATACAAGCTCAGTCAGTAGAAAAAGTTATTTTCTAACTATGGCTACTGGCTGCTACTTCTATGTTGTGGACCGTCGTGTCATTGTTGGGATCTTTTGAATTGATTTTGACTCATTGTAACTCCTTGTGACAAAAGAGGACTACCCCAGACAATTTCCTTAGTTGTAATCTTTACAGAAGTAGATTGCTAGATTTTTGTCCCACAGAACTGCTAAGTATGTTAACAGGCAAGCCCTTAATCATTGCACTGCTAGGGTTCTTTGTATTGCAAGGAAATTTGTCAGGTTGAGGAAGTTTATTTTAGATATAGGTTGCCTAGAGTTTTGATTATGAACAATTTTTAGATTATTTTCAATACTTTCCCCCTCCTCCAAAACAAACATAGCTCTTCATTTTTTAATATAATGCCGCTGTTGTTGTTGCTATACTTTTTTTCTTTTAGTCCTTGTTTTTGTATTATTTTCATACATTTTATTACGTATGTTTTAGAGGAACTCTGGTGGCCTAATGAGTAGGAGTTGCCCTGCCAACCCAAAGGCATGTGATTTGAATCAACCAGATGCTCTCAGGGAGAAAGATAAGCAATATTTTCCATGTGATTATAGCTTTTGAAAAGTTGCTTGAGGGTCAGATATGACTCAATTCTGACTTGAGGACAGATAACAACATAACATGTTTTAATTGCTACAATGTATTATTTTTACATTAGTGTTTTACCAAGACTTATGTAAAAAAATGTGTTTTTTTAAAAAATATTTATATATTTTCCCCCTTGTGGTTTTCATTATCTTGTTTAGATGTAGGCTTTTATTTTGTATTTCTATCTTCTCCTTAAGACCTTCTTTTAATATTTCTGCTAGTGCATGTCTTTTGAAAAGGATCTTTTTAACTTTTGCTGGAAAAGACTATATGATTGTTTATTTCTGGAATACAAATTTCACTAGGATATTGACTTTCTTTCATTAAGGTAAATCTGTCTCTCCTCTTTATTTTGACCTATACCGCTTTGCACAATTTTTTTAATGCTCCTCTCTCTTCTTTTCTGAGACCTTAAATACGTAATTTTATCACTTGATATATTTCTACAGATAACTGATACTCTCTTCATTTGATTCACTTGTTTTTCCTACTCTATTTCATTTTGGATAATTTCTATTGTCATGTCTTTTAAGTTTACTAATCTTTTCTTTGTAGTATCTATTCTGCTGTTTAATGTTGTTTTCCTTTTCTGTAGAGAAATGGAGCAAGTAAGGAATAGCTATACAGGTGGTGTGTATGTGTGTTAATGTGTGTGCAAAGAGAATGATTCATTTTTGATAAAAATGAATATGATACAGGGCTAAAAAGTCCAAAATGTATAGGTTAGGTGACTGGCTAGAAATGCAGTCTTCTGTCACAAATTGGTACCTCAGGCTGCAGGAAAGAAGGAAGGTTTTCTATATTTTCTTTGCCCTCAACAAGCACCTGAATTGGTTCTTGGTCTTCAAAGGTGACCCAGACCTTTGTTTCTGAAGAATCTGACCAATTAGTAGTCCTACTTGACTGGGGTTGTTTCCATTATCTATTGACCTTAATCACAAGGCATGGCTGTACCAACAATCCAGTTTCCCTATGATAATCAGGATGAGTAACACCAGTCAGTGTAACTCCATTATTTGCCCACTTATTCAAAGGCAAAGGAGTCCATTGTACCCAGGTGGTAGTCTTAACTTCCAGTGCAGAGGAATCACTGTTGTGTTTACTGGTGAAAGCATTTATCCTTTTAGCAGTAAGACCAGTAAACTAGAATAGTGAGATTCACAGGATGAGGAAACAAAATTTTGCTCGTGGATCTCTAAGCGTTAATGAGTGACACCACAGCCATTTATATTTTCATATTTTGGAAGTTTATTAAAATATTTTCTGAAAGTACTTTTTGAGTATAAATGAAAGCTGGTAACCATGATCCTTTCTTGATAAGGGTTTTTGAACTTGGTTTTGGCTGTTTAACCTTATTTTGATTGAGCTTGCCTATCTTTTCAGGCATAATAGAGGTATTTGCATTGTGGGATATTTGGTAAAATATTTTGGTATATATGCTTATGAAGATGTATCAATGGAGCCTGTTGATTTTGAAAGGTCAAATTTACCTTTCAAAAATTTATGCATTCTTTTGTAGGGCTCAAAATCTCCTTCACCAAGACCAAACATGCCTATTCGATACTTCATAATGAAGAGTAGCAATTTGAGAAACCTTGAGATTTCTCAACAGAAAGGTATCTGGTCTACAACCCCTAGTAATGAGCGGAAGCTAAATCGAGCCTTTTGGGAAAGCAGCATGGTTTACTTGGTATTTTCTGTTCAAGGATCTGGACATTTCCAGGTGAGCCATCCTGAAACAGTAAAATGGGGTTGTTCTGACTGCAGTTTGTTTGTTGTTGTTGTTGTTGTTGTTACGTGCCATTACATTACCTGCGACTCATATACCTGCGACTTATAGTGACCCTATGTACAACAGTTCTGAAACCTGCTCTTTCCTGAGCACATCTCATTGACTTCGACCCACTTACCCTCATTACCCCACTCATTGTGTCAATTCATCTCATCTGAGGTCTTCCTCTCCTATGCTGTCCCTCCATCCTTTCAAGTATATGTCCTTCTCCAGGGACTGTTCCCTCCTGGCCATGTACCCAAAATATGTGAGACAGATAAATTCTATATAATATCCTAGCTTTCAAGGAGAAACTTGATTTCATTCTTTCCAAGACAGACCTACTTGTTCTCTTGGCAGTCCATGGTATGTTCAGTACTCTTCTCCAGCACTACAACTCAAAAACATAGATTCTTCTGTAGTCCTTAGTCATTGTTCAGCTCTCTGGTGCATAGCAAGTAATTGTGAAGACCATGGCCTGGATCAGGTGCACCTTAGTCTCTTCACTGACATCGTTGCTTTTCAGTACTCTGGAGAGGTCCCTGACAGCAGATTTTCCCAGTGCAATTTGTCTTTTGACTTCATGACTGCTGGTGCCAAGATTGTTGATTGTGAAACTGAATATGCTAAAATTGTTAACAACCTCAATCTCTTCTCCATCTATCATGGTGTTTCCAGTTGACCCAGTGGTGACAATATTTGTCTTTTTGATGTTGAGCTTCAATCCATATTGAAGACTACAGTCCTTGACTTTCTGCAAAAAGTGCTTCAGGTCCTGGTCAGTTTTAGCAAACAGGTTATGTCATCTGTATATTACAGGTTGTTGATGAGTCTACCTCCAATCCTGATGCCACATTTTTTCTTCTAAAGGGCAACCTCCCCAATGATTTGTTCTGAATGTAAATTGAAAAGGTATGGATACAAGACACATCCCTGACACACTCCTTTCCTAATTTTGATCCACAGTGTTTCCTTGCCCTTTTCTGAGGACTCCTTCCTGATTTGAGTATAAAGAAAAGAAAGAAAAACAAAAACAAAAAACACCCCCAAACCAACTGCAATCTGCCTTTGAGTTTCATCAGAATTCAAGAATATATTTTACTGGATGGTAAATGAGGAATATATTTCTCCTTCTAAAGAAAATTATAGAACTGTGATCTTGGTTTTGCCTTATCTTGCTTTCAAAAGCCTCTGCAGAGTAACAGTTTCTTTTTGAAGACAGTTTTAAATGTGTTAATTCTCAGGTAGATTAAAAACAATAGGAAGTGTAATAGATCAAGAAAGTAAGTGTTAACAATCAAAGGAATGTAATTCATCTTGACTTACTGTGTATTGTTGTGTATGCCGCCGAGTCACTTGTGACTCATAGCGACCCTATGTACAACAGCTCTGAACCTTGCTCTATCCTGTGACAACTTCACTCTCTGTGACACACCTACCTCCATTACTCAGTCACTGAATCAGTCCATCTAATTGAGGGTCTTCCTCTTTTGCACTGTCCCTCTGCCCTTCCAATCATGATGTCCTCTCCAAGAACTGGTTCCTCCTTGCAACATGCCCAGAGTATGTCAGGTGAAGCTTCAGAATCCTTGCCTCCAAGAAGCAGCCTGGTTTCACCCTCTATAGTAGGAATCTGTTCTCCTTGCTGTCTGTGGTATGTTCTACACTCTTCTCCAGCACCATAGCTCAAAGGCATCAATTCTCTGTCATCCCTAGTCATTGTCCAGGTTTCTGATACGTAGCAAGTAATTGCGAAGACTGTAGCCTGGATCAGGCGCACCTTAGTCTCCAGACTGACATTGTTTCTCTTAAATACTCTGAAGAGGTTCCTGAAAGCAGATTTTTTCCAGTGCAATTCCTCTTTTTATTTCCTGGATGCAGGTACCAAGAGTGTTAATTGTGGAGCCAAGCAAACTAAAATTGTTAACAGTCTCAGTCTCTTCACCATTTATCATGATGCTGCTAATCAGCCTAGTGGTGAGAATCTCTGTTTTCTTTATGTTGAGTTTCAGTCCATATTGAAAGCTGCAGCAAGCACTGCTGGTCTTCCTCAGTTTCAGCAAGCAGGTTTGTGTCTGCATAATGCGGATTGTTGATGAGTCTTCCTCCAGTCCTGGTTGCACATTCCTGCTGATAGATCTCAGCCTTCCAGATGATCTGTTCTGCATATAGATTGAAAAGGTGTGGAGATAGGATACATCCCTGGCATACACACTTTCTGATTTTGAACCATGCAGTGTTTCCTTGCTCTGTTCTGACAACTGCCTCCTGGTCCAAGTATGGGTTTTTGCATAAGTACAATCAAGTGTTCTGGGACTCCCATTCTTCTCAAAGTTAGCCACAGTTTGTTGTGATCCACACAGTCAAGGAAACACGATAGACATTTCTCTGGTACTCTGATTTCAATTAAGATCCATCTAGCATTAACTATTATATCCATAGGACCACGGCCTCTTCTAAACCCAGTCTGCACATCTGCCAGTTCTCTGTTGTGCTATTCTAGTTGTTTTTATATAATTTCCAGCAGAATCTTGCTCGCCTGTGATATTAATGACATTGTTTGATAATTTCTGCACTCTGTCGGGTCACCTTTCTTTGGAAAGGGAACAGATATAGAACTCTTCCAGTCAGTTGGCCAGGTGATTGTCCTCCAGATTTCTTGGCATAACTTGTTGACTGCATCCAGGGCAGCGTTTGTTTGTTGCAATGTGTCAGTTGGTATGCCATCAATTCCTGGGGCCTTGGTTTTTTGCTAATTCTTTCAGAGCAGCTTGAACTTCTTCCTTCATCACCACAGACACTTGCTCATATGTTGTTACATGAAATTGTGTGTCAGTCCAATGACTAATTTATTATATGTTATAACTATAATTTTCAGAAATAAGACTTTGTAGGCTATTTTATAGTCACTTATGATGGAATAAATGTGGTCTTTAGAGTTATTGCCACATTATTTAGAGAATATTTGAAAGTTGTTGAAAGTATTTGTTAGGAGATGGAAATTTATCTTCTAAAATGTACTATTAATGGATTCTTTTCATGAAAATGTAATAAACTGCTAATTTTTGTTTTATATATTATTTTTTACTTTAAGAATTTAGAGTATTATCAGGTAAATAAAATTTAATATCTTCTTCACTCCCTTCTCCTTTGCCTACAGGGATATTCTAGAATGTCTTCTGAGATAGGAAGGGAGAAGAGTCAGGATTGGGGTTCAGCTGGACTAGGAGGAGTATTTAAAGTGGAATGGATACGAAAAGAAAGTCTTCCCTTCCAGCTTGCACACCACTTGCTCAATCCTTGGAATGACAACAAGAAAGTCCAGATAAGCAGAGATGGACAGGTATACCCTAGCATTTACAGTGCTTTCCTCCACTTTGTTCTTATTTTGCTTTGTTGTTATTTAGTGATTTGTTTGACGAGCACATTTCTTGAGAACTTGGGAAGCTTTCAGATTTATAAGAGAGTGAGTAAAAACTTACTTGCAAATGTGTCTGATAGAGCTTGTTGCTTTTTAAATGCTTTTGTTTATTTTGTTTAAGGTTAATGTCTATCTGTCATTGTCATGGCATCTATAAAATATCATAGGTCACTTCCTAAAGACTCTTATCTTGCTAAAGATAGAACCAAAACTGAATGCAACTCTGAGTTAATTTGGCTAAAATCTTAAAAAGAAATTAGTACTTCTTTATAGCTTTAACCAATTCTATGAAGGGATCTCTGGTGGCCTAATGGTAAGAAGTTGTACTGCCAACCCAAAGACAATTCAAATCCACCAACTCTGCGGGAGAAAGATGGGCCATCTCCTCCTGTGTGATTTACAGCTTCTGAAAAACCCACTGGAAGGTCAACAGTGAGTTGCTTCTGACTCTGCAGCACATAAAAACAATTATATGAAGTAAACAGCAGACTTTTAATGCTTTTCTTCTTTGTTTTATTTCTATTTTCTTTTTCTTTGCCTTGATGCTGTTAACAAATTTTAAACTGGTTAAGGTGATAGAAAATAGCATATGTTGACCAAATAGTATACTAATTGCTTTTTAAAATCTAATCTTTATTCATAAAATGAGTTACTAGGTTAGTTTTATATGGGGGAAAATACATTCAAACAATTTAGTTTTACCAGAGATTACTTAACTAATAGCTAATTGAATTAATGTGATTTACCTCAAATCAATAGTCAAAAAGTGTTGGATTTTTAAGTGGCTATCAGAGATATAATGAGGTTGGCACAGGACAGGACAAGGTTCAGATCCATTTTTATAGGGTCGCTATGGGTCTTACCAGACTCAATGACACCTACCAACAATAACAATAACAACATCAAAGATATCATGCTACAAGGGGATAATAATTTCTTTTAAATTGCATAGAGACATTTTAGCTTTTATTCTATAGTAATGTCTTCCAAATAAATGCAGTTTGTTGAAAAACAAAACAAAATATATATGTTTTACAGTAAACTTTTGAAAGCTCAAGCAGAGTGTTTGTACTGAGATGCTACTAACAACAACCCCACCATTTTCAGATAGTAAAAGCATCCAGATGTGTTTGATGGAACTCTCTTACCATTTTAGCACAAAAAGTTAAGATTTTTACAGGTTGGCACTTCAAGTCTATAAGTTGGCTTCTTAAATGGAATCTTGGAGAATTAAAGCAGTACATCTTATTTAACTGTTCTAATAGAAAAAAAATTCAATGTGATATTAAAAATATTTACTAGCATAGGCTTGGTGATTTTAAAACACTGCATAGTTTAATATAAGTCTTGTATATTCATTTTGACTTTTGATTTCTCTAGGAACTAGAACCTCAGGTTGGTGAGCAGTTGCTGCAGTTGTGGGAACGCCTTCCACTGGGAGAAAAAACTACAACTGATTGACACTCAGGTTACGACATATGTGGTTTTGATAACTGGTGGTATTTGTATCACTTTGAATGTCTTTCTTATTTATATTTTCTTCATTTTACTTTTCCAGAACTTTTAGCTACTGTAGAACATCATGCCTATTTATCACCACCAAATGCACTGATTCTGAAAACCGAGATAAAGTTGTGTGTTTTAAATGGGCTTCTTCAGTTTAGAATATTTTACAATTACTCATGTTAATATAAAAAAGATCATTTTAATTTTTATAATGATCACAGGCAGTGGTCACTTAGTATTTGTAATTGTAGGTTTATCATTGAATAAAATACTATATGTTATTTAACAGTGTTAAACATTGTTAACTTAAAATTAAACTTTTTATGTGTTTAAAATGCTGGCTTACAACTATTATTAATGATTTTTTAAATACAAAGTAAATTGTTTTCTTGTAATAAATGCCTGTACTATTACATTTGAACACTGTTTCATAACAGTCAACTTCTGAGGTGTATATTAAAAACAAGCAAAATCAAATAAATTGTAAAAATGTAACTTTTAGAACCAGTGCATAGTGATAAGGGCTATTCATGCTGACGTTATAAACTTGAGATATACGAAGGCAAAATGCAGAGAGAAGTATTCTTTATTGGCAATTAAGAAATGTAGTGAAATCTGAAAAAGGTAGAGGGTTCTTCCTCAGTTTTGATCAAATAAAATTAAATGCTCAGTTTCCTACTTCATTTAACTAGGTTATATACCATACCTTTTCCCTCCTTCCATGTTTCAACCTTCATAGGTCTCTCAAGTGAATGCAGTAATTATTACTTCTTTATTTTTGCCAGGTAAATTTGATTTGAACAAGCTTAAAATTTTCATACAAATTCAGTCAAGTTTAAGTTTAAAAATAAATCACAAATTACCAGTGATAACTTGGTTGATGTATATGTTCCAAATTAAAGTCGGAGCAGCACAACACTAAATGTCATGTTCTATTTTAGTTTTCAGTACTTTTTCTCCAATTTATATGTTGGAGATGATTATTATTGTTGTATTTATGGTTTAATAAATGAAAGATAATATAAATTTATGCTGGTGCCAACTCACTTTTTTTTTTTTCCACCTTGAAATTATTTATCTCTCTACTACTACTGTCTTTCTATAAGAATCCTGGAAGAACAAAATAGAAGAAAAGGAAAAATGAAAGAAACGTTTTGGTTACTGGTCACTAAGTAGAGCAGGTTTGATAGCACTTTTCATGCTCCATATCTTCTTTGAAGATAAAGAGAAACTTCTAAATTCACTGTTCTTGTGTTTAAGAACAAAGAAGCAAAAAAATCACAGGACAACATAAAATCTTAAGAGTTGTTCTGCTTCTCTGGGAAAGCTATCTGTGTTAATCATTTATTTACAATGTCAACTGTGATTTTTAGCCTGCGTTTGTAGCTATTAGGTTTTTATTTTATACATTGAAAAATACCTATAAATTGAACCTATATAAACTATGTTGCATTGTATGATGTGTTTTTTAGATAATATATTTAGCGTTTCTGGTGTTGTGAATTTGGAAGTTTTCATCTGTTTTCTTATATATAGCCCTGTGTGTAAATGATGAGACTGTTGGTGTATAAGATGGATATGATTTAAATGTAATAAAATGCTGGTTTTGAAAAAAAAGGACTTTAAGTATACTTATTAAATGACATTTTATTAAATTATTCAGATCTTGTTACTGCTGGTAGAGACAAAAGTGAACAGTGATCTATACCCTATGTTATTGTTGAGTATGACCCATAGCAACCCTATGAACAAAAGATCTAAACCCTCTCCTATCCTGTGCCATCCTCATCCCTGACATAGTTGAGCCCATTATGGCAGTCACTGTGTTAATCTATCTCATTGATGGTCTTCCTCTCTTTAACTATCCCTTCACCTTTTCAAGCATGATGTCTCTTTCTAAGGAATAACCTCTCCTAGCAACATGCTCAAAGTGTGTGTGATGAAGCTTTGCCATGGTTGCCTCCAGGAATCACTCTACCAGCCCTTTTCCCACGACATACCTATTTATTTTTTTGACAGTCCATCTGCTATGCAAAAGCTCTTCTCCAGTACCACAACTGAGGACATCAATTCTCTCATCCTTATTCATTGTCCAGCACTCAGCTGTGTAGGAAGTGATTGAAAATGCCATGGCCTGAATCCAGCACACCTTAGTCTTCAAATTGACATCATTACTCCTCAGTAATTTGCAGAAGTCCTTGACAGTCTCATTTCCCAGAGCAATATGTCTCCTGATCTCCTGACTGATGATGTCAAAGATGTTGCTTATGGAGCCAAGTAAGATGAAATTGGTAACAATTTCAGTCTTTTTTATCTGTTATGAAGTTGCTTATTGGTTCAGTAGTGAGAATTTTTGTCTTCTTGATGTTGATGTGCAGTCCATATTGAAGATTTTAGTCTTTGTTCTTCTGCAGCAAGCATTGCAAGTCCTCCTCACTTTCAGCAAGCCAGATTATGTCATCTGCATAACACGGTCACAACATTTTTCTTCATAGACTCTAGCATACAGATTGAATAGTTATAAAGGATACAACACTGGTACACTCCTTTCCTGATTTTAAACCATGCAGTGTTCGCTTCCTCTGTTTGGACATAAGCTTCTTGGTCTAGGTGCAGATTTTGTATGAGCATTAGTAAGTGCTCTGGGATTCCTGTTCTTCACAGTATTAGTCATAGTCTGTTATGATCCACACAATCAAATACCTTTGCATAGTCAATAAAACATACATAACATGCTTCTTGTATTTTTTGCTCTCAACCAGTATGTATCTGACATCAGCAATAATACCCCTGGTGCCATGGCCTCTTCTAAGTCCAGCTTGAACTTCTGGCAGTTCTCTGTCAATGTACTGTTTAAGCCAATTTGGTATAATCTTATATTAAGTGAATTCATGTCCAAGAATTTAAGTCAGAGTCCAGAATAAAAGAGAAAAAGAAAAAAAAACCTGTACCTTCTGCACTGGATTAATCCGATGGTCATAGGCCTCATCTCTATTGACAGGTCAATTATGCTATTGTAGAGGAAGCAGCCATACTCATTTTGAGGAAAGAGCGCTTCAGAAAGAGTACAGAAAGAGTGAAGCTGAACATATTCTGTCTTTATTGAAATAACAATTTATCAGTTTGCCTAAACGAAAAGGGTAAGTGCATATCTCAGTACTTCTTCTTGTTAAGGTTAGTGCCCTGCTTTTATGATTCAAGCTGGACCACAGGGAATAACAAATATATTTATCCTCAATAAAGAAAAGAAAAGAAAAAAGACTTGTTAATGTCAGAAGAAAACCAGAATTGTCTTTTTGATCCATTCTGTCATGCAGTACTGCATTTGTGACGATACTCAATCTGAGAAAACATGTCTGTAGATTTAAGTATTTTGGATATTAGTCTGGAATGTCCTCTGATAATGACACAGCTAACACTGTTTATTGTTAGGTGCCATCAAGTCAAGTAATACCCATAGCGACCTTATGAATGACAGATCTGAACCCTGTCCTATCCTGTGCAATCCACATACATTTGCACACATTGCAGCAGTTACTGTGTCAATCCATGTGGTTGAAGGTCTTCCTCTCTTTCATGACTTCCATGTTTCCAAGCATGATGTCCCTTTCCAAAGCAACATGTCTGATGTATGTGAGATGAAGCTTTATCATATTAGCCTCCAAGGAGCACTCTGGCTGCACATTCTCTAAGACATATTTATTTATTCATTTGACAGCCCATGGGATGCGCAGTACTCTTCACCAACACCACAGCTCAAAGACATCAATTCTTCTGTCATCCTTATTCATTGCCCAGCTCTCAGATGCATAGGAAGTGATTGTAAATATTGTGGCCTGAATTTAGACATATCCTAGTCCTCAGACTTGACACACTGTGCCTCAATAATTTGGAGAGAACTTTGATTATAGACTTTCCAAGACTAACACTGCCTGTTAACACTTTAAAATGGCATCTTTAATTTTAAAGTCTTTAAAGAGATCTTTTCAAGAGATTTCATAATACGTACATTGTTTCAAATATAGTATTAATTGGTGTATGTCAGGTGTATGGATATTATTGTATCACTGACAATATTTAGGATATTGAAATGTTCTTTTTTGTCAGTGAATGTGATGCTGTATCTCTTTGTCATTTCAGGAATACTTGAACATGTGATAATGGGATTCTAATTGGCCAATACTAGTATATTGTTATTGTTGTTATGTGCTTTCGAGTCGCTTGCGATTCATGGTGACTCTATGTACAATAGCTCTGAACCCTGCTCTGTCCTTATCGGCCTGTCAACCTTATCGTCTCTGACATACTTACCCCTATTACCCCAGTCACTGAATCAATCCATCTCATTGAGGGTTTTCCTGTCCTGTGCTGTCCCTCCACCCTCCCAAGCATGATGGTCCTGCCTTGCATCATGCCCGAAGTATGTCAGATGAAGCTTCAGAATCGTTGCCTCCACAGAACATGCTGGTTTTACACTCTCCAGGACGAACTTGTTTGTTCTCTTAGCAGTCACTCAATACTCTTCTCTAGCACCACAGCTCAAAGGCATCAATTCTTCTATCATCCCTAATCATTGTCTACCTTTCTGATGCATAGCATGTAATTGCAAAGACCATGGCCTGGATCAGGTGCACCTTAGTCTCCAGACTGACATCATTGCTCTTCAGTACTCTGGCGAAGTCCCTGACAGCAGACTTTCCCAATGCAATTCATCTTTTGATTTCCTGGCTGCTGGTACCAAGAGTGTTGATTGTGGAGCCAAGCAAACTAAAGCTGTTGACCATCTATCATGATGCAGCCCATTGGCCCAGTGGTGAGAGCAGGCATGGCATCCACTTCCTAAACCACATGCCTCTGGAAACTATGAACATAGAGAAACAACGATAATTATAGAACAAAGTTCAGGTCTTTTGTTCATAGGGTCCTTATGACTCGCTTGACAGCACTTAACAACAGTACATT